TGAAATGGATCCCAGGCACCCGCACGTGCAGTTTGCCCTGCAGGGTGACCCTGATGGACACCAGGCTTGAGATCCTCCACAGTAGGGAAAACAAAGCATTTTCACAGCCATGATGTCTCGAAAATCCTGGGCTCACTTGCTCCTTAGCTCATCCCCAAAAGGTCCAAAACTCCACACAGCCAACTGGCCATTATACACTTTGCCCCTCCCTGACAATCTGAGTGGGTGATCCTCCCCTGACTTGGGCAACCACACCAAACCCACTGCTTGGGCACGCACAGCACCTGGACAAGCCAAGTCCCTGGGCGGTGGCACCACACCCAGCCCCCAGCGCCCTGCCCAGGAGGGGCAAAGAAGGTGTCACGGAGCCAGAGGGGGTCACGGACGCAGCATCTAATCCTTGATCTGACTCTAGATAGCAACTTGCAGCCTACGGAGAGGGTCTCAGGTGGGCTGCTGAAATACGGAGCCCCGGCAGGTTCTCAGGAGCCTCCATTTCCTGCCTGCACCACGGGGATGTGAACCATAGCATCTACCTTGCTGGGTAATTGTGATGATCACAAGACACAGTGGTGCTCCGTAGCAACCACACACTGACCAATTACACTCTTCACTCACATGAGCTCATCTAATCCCTCACAACCACCCTTGGGGATGGAAACTATTATTAACCCCATTTTCCAGATGAGACACATTACGTGACTCACCCTGGGTCACAAGGCCGGAAACAGCAGGGCTGGGATTTGAACCAGGGGAGCCTGGCTCGGGAGCCTGAGCTCTAACCATCGGGCAGCACTGCCTCCGCCAATGCTGAGCCTTTCCCCATAACCTGGACAATGGGGGGAGTAGGTGCTGGAGGCAAAAAGGGCAAAAGGACTCTGAATGTGTCTGGGGGGAATGGTGAAGGCAGGAGCGGTACTAGGAGGAGCTAGCCACAGGGCTGGCATCAAATAAGAGAAAAATCACCTGAACCAGCCGGGCAGGCAACACAGAGAAGCACAGAACCCACTGGGGCCCAGTTGCAAGGTCTCCCCAACATCTACAAGTCCACAGAAACGGTTACTGTGAAGAAGGGAATTAAGTCCACCTTAGCCATATTACTTCATTTTTATCTTATCCCTAGAATGTTCCACAGGGGCTTCTAGGGAAAAAGAAGAGTCAAATGATTCTGTTGCTAGATGAGTTTGGAATTCCTTGAGGCAATACTTCCTATCCAGAGATTCATAATGGACACTGGCAAAATAAATGCTCTGATAAGTCCTGCAGAGAAATCTGTTTCATTTATTCAGCCTAGCATTCGTCATATTTAAATGACTGTGAAACTCTTCCTTTTTCCCTGAGGCACCTATTGGCACTTCACGGAACAGTCTGAGGATTGCTGGTATAGAGCAGGCATCACAAACTTTTTCTGTTAGTATTTCTGAAAATAATACATATTTTCAGCTTAGCGGGCCACAGGGTCTCTGTTACAATTACTCGACTTTGCTGTGAAAGCATAAAAGCAGCCCCAAACACAATGTAAACAAATGAGTATGGCTGTGTCAATAAAACATTAGGTATGGACACCAAAATGTACATTTCATGTAATTTTATATGATATTAAATATTCTTCTTCTTTCAATTTTCCTCAATCATTTAAAAATGTGAAACTATTCTTAGATCACAGGCCACACACATACACACAAATCAGGCTGCAGGCTGACTTTGGTCAGCGGGCTAGAGTTTGCCAACCCCTAAGATAGCAATGGAAAGCTCCAGTGTCTTCTAGGACCACTTTTAACTCTCAGGGGCATGGAAAGGGGAAGAAGAACAAGTTGCAGGGTAGCGGGGAAGTGGGAGACAAGCAGTAGAAAGAAGACTGATATGGAATTCAGGGCACAAGAGTGTGTGCTAAACTCTTCAGTCCGCTCACATGGCCTGTGACTTTACGTGAGTAATTCTACAACTCGGGCAGAGCGTATGTTCTGGATGGTCTGGGGTGAGGAGGGTCTCTATTTTCTCACTCAGACCTCCTGCAGGCCTATCAAATGCTGGAATTGTTCCTGCTACCCACATCCTACTGCCAGGCACCTAAGCTGGAGAAAGAGATAAGGGCCCCTAAACTACACTTTGATAAATTATCCCCAAGATGCTGGCCAGGATGTGCCTCCAGCTCCAGACTAAGACAGTGGCCTTTGATAAGAATTGAAAAAGAGGCAAAGTCCAGGATCAATCAAGGAAAAGGTTATTACATTCAGCTCTATTGTCTTTTTTTTTCTTTTCTTTTTTGAGATGGATTCTCTCTCTGTTACCCAGGCTGGAGTGCAATGGTGCCATCTGGGCTCACTGCAACCCCCGCCTCCCGCGTTCAAGTGGTTCTTCTCCCTCAGCCTCCCGAATAGCTGGGATTATGGATATGCACCACCATGCCTGGCTATTTTTTTGTTGTTGTTTTTTGTTTTTTTTGCATTTTTAGTAGAGACAGGGTTTCACCATGTTGGCCAGGCTGGTTTCAAACTCCTGACCTCAAGTGATCCACCTGCCTCGGCCTTCCAAAGTGCTGGGATTACAGGCGTGAGCCACTGTGCCTGGCCAAGCTCCACTGTCTTAATCCACGTGGCAAAATCCAGCATACGCAAAGTAAAAATTAAACTAAAAAACTGGGGAAATGTTTGCTGCTCAAACTGCAAAGAACCAAAATCATATAGAAAAAGACCAAAACTTACCAGAACAATGGGCAGAGGATATGAACATACCATGTGCAGGAAGAAACTGCAAATGGCACACATGAACAAAATGCCCCACCTCACACAGAATAAGAAAAAAAGCAAAGTCAGGCTACAAGATACCATTTGTTATCTGTTGGATTAGCAAAACTCTATGTTTGAGAACTTGAACTGGCAACAATGGGAAAACAGGCACCCTCATGCATTGCTGGTGGAGACGCAAGTGGAATGGCCTCTAAAGAGGCCAAACTGACATTATCTATCAAAACTACAAATAGGCCAGGCACAGCGGCTCATGCCTGTAATCCTAGCACTTCAGGAAGCCAAGGCGGGTAGATCACCTGAGGTCAGGAGTTCGAGACCAGCCTGACCAACACGGTAAAACACTGTCTCTACTAAAAATAGAAAAAGTAGCCAGGTGTGGCGGCAGGCGCCTGTAGTCCCAGCTACTCAAGCAGCTGAAGCAGGAGAATCGCTTGAACCTAGGAGGCAGAGGTTATAGTGAGCCGAGATCATGCCATTGTACTCCAACCTGGGTGACACAGTGAGACTCCATCTCAAAAACAAAAACCAAAACAAAACAAAACAAAAAAACAAACAAAAACTACAAATAGACAACACCACCTTCAGGAACTGGTCCTAGAGTTATATTCAAATGAAAAATGACCTACACACCGAGGTTTCCCACTGAAGCCCTGTTTGTGAGACCAAAAGACTAGAAAACACCTAAGCATCCATTCCAGGAGAGCTGGGTAAGTCAGTTATGATGATGATGGTGGTGGTGATGATGATGATGATGATGACTGCTCTCCTTTACATGTGTATGACAATTAGGTCCTGTTCTAAGCCTCATTACTCAAAGCATGGTCCAGGGACCAGCAGCTTCTGTTACCTGGTGGCTGTCTGAAAACAGACTCCTCTGCCCCAGGCCAGCTGAATCAGAATCTGCATTTTACCAAGATGCCTGGGAAAATCCCATGCACATTAAGGCACTATTTTAAAAAACTCTTCCCATAATAACCCATTACATCTTGTAACAACCCAATAGCCCAAACCCTCTCACCACCTGCATGCTGGAGATGAGAAAGCCCAGGCTCTGACAGGTTAGGGAAATTGTCCAACGCCACAGTGTGTGTGGGTGGCAGAGCTACATGGACACAAAACACATGGAACAAGGAAGCTCTTTAATGGCTGACAGGACCAATCTCTGAGATAAGTCATCAGTTGGAGAACACTGTATATGCCAGGCCACCATTTATGGGAGGGGGAAAAACTGAAAGCTGAATCTCCATGTAATTTTTGAAACACCCAGAGAGCATCTCCTGAAAAGAAGGAAACAGCAATTGTCCCTGGGAAGTGGAACTCAGCAGCTGGAGAAGAAAGTGGGAGGGAAACTATTTCGTGTTACACATGTATTGTTCATAGCTCCAAAGGCAAACATTGTGAAGGTGTTTATTCAAAAATAAATGAAAAAAAATTGTTGTTCACAAAACTGGTGGAAGGAAGAAGTTACACAGCTGGAAACCATCACCACTGAATTTTAAGCAAAGTCAAGCTACAAGATACCATTTGTTACCTGTTTGGGGTGGGGGAAAATTAGCATAGAGAAGCCCATTCCCACTTCCCCACTCACCATCCTTCCTTCTTCCCTTCTCAAAGGAGGCAGAACTGTGGTGGGAATGAGAGGTGTGGGGGAGGGCAGACTCACAATGGATTCTCCAGGAACTGGGGACTCAGACCCACATTCAGGTTCTAATGTGGAAGGGACTAATGCCTTGCATGAGGGCAACTTTGTCCCACAGGGGACAATCTGGCGATGTCTGGAGACATTTTTGGGTGTCACAACTGGGAGACGCTACTAGCATCTACTGAGTAAGAGACCAGGGATGCTGCTAAACACCCTGCAGTTCACGGACAGTCCAGAATGTCCTGTGTCCTGTGGTGTCACCTTGGAGCTCTAGTTAAAGTGTAGGTTCTGATGCTGCAGGTCTGGGGAGGGCCCAGGATTCTGCATTTCTCATAAGAGGGCTGCCCTCCCCCCTGCTGATGTGGGACCACCCTTTGTGTAATGAGGCCTTACCCAATTCTGCTATGGCCAAATATGTAATCTTCTCATGGAAAGAGGGGAAGGGGCTGCTTCCGGTTTGGATCAAAAGGCTGAACATGGAGTACTGGTTGGGAGGGGTGGGGAAGCCTGTTTGTAGTGAGGCAAGCATGAGCACTACTGAGACCCTCCTGAAGTCCAGGAGCACAGGCTGCATTAGAACTGGTGGTGGCAGTGGCCGGGGGACTCACCATCCAGTGTCTCCACCGAGAGCTGCAGGCCCAGGTTGTGCCGCGGATTGACCACCCAGTGGTTGCTGGTGGCTGTGATGTCGAACACCAGCCAGCCCTCCTCCGAGGCCCAGAGGGTGCGGCTGTCGAGCAGGAAGAGATCCGATTCCCTGCGAGAGAGGAGGAGAGACACAGGCTTTGCGTCAGCCAGGTCACAGCTCAGCTTCCCCAACAGATGGGAAGCAGAGCCTCATGGAAAGAGTCCACTGGTCCCCTACAAGTGGGAACATCAGACCAAGATCCAGGCACAAAGACCCCTCAGTAGTTGTGGTGAGGAAAGAGAGTGCAGAAGAGCTACAAAGAGACACATGCAGGGAACAGGCAGCTGTTACAAGGCAATATCACCCCACAAATTGTTAGGGGCATCCCAGCGGGACAGAGTACAGGAAGACAGGGATTATGCAGCCTCCGTGTTGCTGGAAGAGTCTCAGAGAGCAGAAGTTGATAGTGACTGCACTATTCACCATGTGCCAGATACTGTCCCACAGGCTCAACACTACACTGTCTCATTCAATTCCCACAACCCTAAGTTCATTTCCAGGACGTGCACCATCTTCCTGAGCCCACCAAGAGGCAGGAGGTGAATCTCTGGACTGACGGTATTAATAGTGAAAATCCTTTCATTCTCTCTTCCTCACTTTTTACAGTAGCAAAATGGGTACAATCATAATTAACTCGATAGGGGATGGAGGGTGGATGGATGGGTAGATGGATAGGTGGGTGGATGGATGGGTACGTGGGTGAATGAGTGAATGGATGGATAGGTGGGTGGATGGATGGGTACATGGGCGAATGAGTGGATGGATGGATGGAAGGATGGATGGATGGGTAAGTGAATGGATGGGTAGATGAGTGGGTGGCTGGGTGGGTGGGTGGATGGATGGATGAGTAGATGGGTGGGCAGGTAGGTGAATGAGTGGATGGGTAGATGGGTGGATGGATGGATGAATGGGTAGAGGAGTAGATGAATAAGTGGGTAGATAAGTGGATTGTTATGTTTCTGGATAGTAGAAATTTAGTATGAAAAATCTTCATAACATTTCTTGCACACCTTTAATAAGGATTCAAAGTTTCAATACTTTAAGTCCTTTAATAGTCAACTAGAATGTTTATACCGCTGTGTTGTACCAGAAACCAAGGCATAATGATGAACAATGTGACACTGGTCCCTGTCCCAGGGCAACAACAGTCTCTATCATACTTGGAGTTATCTAATCTTCCTGGGGATTACAGTGAATCTTCTCTGCTCACACATAAAGATGTCAGACATACCCTTTATGGAGCACTTACCATGTGCCAGGCTCTGGGTTGAAACGCCTGACCAGTCTCATGTCACTTAGTTCTTACAATACTATGTGGGGTAGATAATATTCCCCATGCCATTGTGCAGAACTCAAAACTGAGGCTCCAAAAGGTCGAGTTATTTGCCCAGGGTTATGCCACTAGGACAGTCCAGGCAGGACTGGAAACCAACCAGGCTACCTGCAAGCCCAAGCTTGCAACCATACACAAAGACAGTTCTTCTGGACACTGCCTTTTCAGAGCCTTTCACCAGTCAACCTCATTGGAATGTAACCCACTAAACCACGGGCAGGAGCCGAGCCACCGATGTCCCTTTGATGAGGCACACATCTCCAGTTGGCTCCAGCCCCCAGCTCTCCCTACTAACACTGTGGAAAACCACCCTTCTTTATCTTCCTGTCTGACCTGGACAACTCTAGGTTTGTGAGGTCTGCTAGATCACCCTTCTGCTGCATGCCATAATCTGTCAGACATTCATCAGGCACATCAATGTGAACAAGGCTCAGAGAAAGCATACGGGAAACAGATCTGTAATGTTAGTGAGTGCTGGGAGATTAACAGACCCAGAGAAGCATACACAGGGAAGAAGAACCAGAGTCAGAAACCGACAGGAACCAAAGCAGGCGCGAGGGCACAGGGCAATTTTCTCAGGAACAAGCACAGAAGGAACAAATCGGAGCTGCCTTTCCCTCTGGGCCTCTCTCCATCCAAAACTCTGGGGGAGAGAATCCAGTTGGCCCAGTCAAGTCATGTGCCCACTCCTAGCCATAGAAGGGTGGGCACTCCACAGCAATGGACAGCATCACCAGGACCAAAGATGGGGGCGGGAGTCACCTCACCCCATGCCCCCCCAAACTCTCCTTTTTAACAACCCCAGAACCTGATTCAAAAAATGCTTAATTCTGTTATTGCTATGGTTTCAATGTTTTGTCCTTCCCAAGACTCATGTTGAAAATCCCCAATGCATCATTATTAAGAGGTGGGCCCTTTAGGAGGTGATTAGGCCATTGGGGATGGATTGATGTATTTATGAATGAGTTTGGAAAAGTCTGGTCCCTTTTTGTTTTTCCACCTTTGACCACGTGAGGACACGGCAACAAGGTGTCATCTTGAAGCAGAGGGCAGCCTTCACCAGACACTGACCCTGCCGGCACCTAGATCTTGGACTTCCCAGTCTCCAGGACTATGAGGAATGAGGTTTTTTGTTTTTTGTTTTTTGTTTTTTTTTTTAAAGATTGTAAAGGACTCATTTCTCTCTCAAGCACAGAGAGATGACAGAAGCAAGGAAGTCTTTTTAGAGCCACACAGGACTTTGAAGACCCTAAGTTTGCCTTTCACATCCAAACTGAATTAAAATAATGAGACGATTTTTCATGACTCATTAACTTCTTCCCCATGCTCTTTCAGAGGTAGTTTCAGGCTGGCTTTGGGGATATCTACACAGATTTTAAACTTATAAACAAGAATTTCCTGCTGTCTTATCTCCAGTTTGCCTGGATGACTTTCCTGGCTTTGAAAAGCTACCAAGGTTGTCAATGAACCATTAGCTATTCTCAACAATTAACAGATGAGACAAGAAGCACCACTCCAAGTTGAAACAACTTCTCCTACTGAATCAGGCTCCCAAGGCCCCTGTAGGAAATATCCACACCCCAGCACAGAAGTCACAAACCCAGGTGGTGATTTTGCTGGAAAATTGTTATTAGCAGGAAAATGTGACCAGATAATCTGGACAGGCCCTCGAAGACAGTGAAACAATGAATGGTAACCAGGGGAACAGAGTGAGATCTTTAAACAGAGAACGCCTCGCCAAACGATACTGAGCATTCTCTTATTGCAGGCTATGACACTGAGGCCAGATGCTACAGGCCAGCGCTGACTCATCCATGAATCAACGTGAACGCGTCGACTCCCCTCCTTCAAGTCATAGTTTGCAATGTGTCCCAGGCACGTTTAGGAGAGCCAAATCTTCATTGGAAGGCACCGGAAGACAGGAGCCTTGCTGAGATGGGTCAAGTGTGAGATGCTAACACGGGCTTTGCTTTCAGACTGAGAGCCCAGGTGTGAGGTTGGACCTCATGGAAAGGACAAGGAAGGAATTACTCAGCAGCCAGGTCCAGTCTGACAGCTGGGAGAGGGGGAATTTCTAGCTGCCACCTCGAGCATCATAAAAGAACACTGGTTCTTATAACCAGGAGAGCACTGAAGGAGCCCTTTGTGACGTTTTTATTTACCTTGAACACAGTGGCCTCCCTGGCCCAGCCCAGGTGAGAGAAGAGGTAGGGAAGGCTCAGGGTGAAAGGCCTTGAGGAACCTAAATGTGTTCTTTCACCTTCGCCACTGCTGAGAATCTCGGTGCTTTCCACACTTTGGTTCTCCGAATCTCCCCACCAGCCCTATGAAATGGTCAAAGTCCTGTTACCGTTTTACAGATGAGAAAAGTCAGGGTCAGTGAAATGAAGCCAATTGTTTGCAGTGACACACCTGATAAGTGGCAGAACCAGGTGACAGCGCAGGAAACCTGACTCAAGAACCTGAGCGCTTAAACCCTGCCACCTCCTTCACTCACCTGGGGACAAGAGACACATAGGAATATGTTGAATCCTGTATGATACGTGATGTCATCACAGACAGAGAAAATACTAGAGAGGGATGAAACCCGGGTGATGGAGAAGGGATAAGGCAAGGTTATGCCAGATAATTCCTGTGTCTTGGTTTCCTCTTATGTAAAATGAGAATAATGCCATCTTTTTCAATGATTAGGAAGAGCCAAGTTAAGACCAGCCTGGCAGCAAACTCCCAGATGCTCCTGGAATATAGTTATTACAAGGTATGTCAGTGTTGGTGTCTATTCTCTGCTAAACTTCAGGAAATCCTAGGATGGGGACTTTACATGTCTTGGCCCCAGAGGTTACGTGACTTGCCCACAGTTCTCCAGTCAACAGACTACATGTCCATTCCAAGCATGTTTACCTTGGACTCCAAAATTTGTCAGAAAAGTGTACTGTGTTCACAGTAGTGTTAGATTTTCTGCAAATACGGCCACCAATAATTCCTTGTCTCTGTACGCAGATGCTGCTGTCCCATAAACTTGTGGAGTCTGTTCCCCACCTCTGAGGTCTGGACTGACCATGTAATCTGCTGTGACCAGTAGGACCCAGTGGAACTGAGGCCCTGCCAGGCTCAGGACTAGGATTTAAGAAGCCTATCATTTCTATGTTTGCCCTCTGGGAAGCAAGCCACTGAATCGAGAAATCTGACTACACTGCTAAAGGAAGAGACCACATGGAGGGGAAGGAGGCACAGGCCATGGAGGATAAGGATCTATAAACCAGAGAGAGAGAGAGAGAGAGAGAGAGAAACCAAGTCAGTCCCCAGTGAGGCACCATCTCAGGCCTTCCAGACCTAGTCAAGCTCCTAGCTCCATCAGTGACCACAGAAGACACCAGAAAGAGTAGAAGAACCACCCAGCTAAGCCCTGCCTAAATTCCTGAGCAATAAAACAATGTTGTTTTAAGCCACTACATGTGAGTGGTTAGTTTCAGAGATACATAACCCAAACAACAGTCACATTGTTTATAACAGAAAAACTGAAAACTAACCATCCAGTGAGAGAGACTGGTAAAAACATTATGGCACGTCCAAGGCAACAGAGCCCTGCACAGTCACTTCAAAGGACCATATAAAGCTACACTTGTTGACAAGGTGGAAATATGATAGGAAAGTGCTTAAGAAACAGAATTTGTAGGATGTAAACTTCTGGGAAAATGCAAAATGCAAAAATTGGTGCAAAAAGAAATGAAAATTT